GAGCAAGAATGTCCTTCTCCCCTTCACTCCAGATCCCTAAAGACTCACATAAACTAGAACATGATAGATCTCGGGGTTGCTGGATCACAACAGGTACAAAGTTGAAGGTGTAATTCAAGCTGTGCTGTGACTCTACATCCAGAGATATTGTCTGTTTCATTATTTCAAATAATATAAGCAATTTTTCCCAGAGATTGCGGCTGGAAGGGCATCTGCTGCATAAAAACTTGCTGGATAAGTTGGCGGTTCATTCCGCTGTGGCGACCCCGGATTAATAAAGGGACTAAGCCGACAAGAAAATGAATGAATGAATGAATGAATATAAGCAATGAATGAAATCAATAAACAAAGTAATCAATATTTAAAATAAAAAATATGGCAAAACAGATATAATTAACTTTAATAAAAATTCTTGACCAACCTCGAAATCTGCACCTACCAGAAAAGCAATCATTCTTCCATATATATTTGTTCATGGTTACTGATATTTTCCCCCTTTTATTATCAAATAATGAAAATGGAAGAAAATGGAATGTTTGCTTTCATTTCATTTCACTTCATTTAATTTTCCTTCAGCTTAGTCCCTTTATTCATCAGAGGTTGCCACAGCAGAATGAACCGCCAACTTATTTAGCATACTATATGCTTTAAGCAGCGGATACCCTTTCAGCTGCGACCCATCACTGGGAAACATCCATACACCCTCAATCACACACATACACTCTCCGGCCAATTTAGTTTATTCAGTTCACCTATAGCACATGTGTTTGGACTCTGGGGGAAACTAGAGCACCCGGAGGAAATCCACAGAGAGAACATGCAAACTATACACAGAAATGCCAACTGACCCAGCCAGGACTCAAACCAGTTACCTTCTAGCTATGAGGTGACAGTGCTACTGAGCCACCATGTCACCCAATATTTGTTTAATGTTTTAAATGATGCAAAATCTTAAGAAAAAAAAATGAAATCTTCGAAATATTACTACACAGCAGGTAAAATAAGTGTTGAACACATGTTTCTAAAAAAAAACATATTTCTTAATGTGCTGTTGACTTGAATTGCTCAACAGTTGTCAGTACCAACCAAAGTAATCTATGCATACAAGGAAAACTAAATTATTTAGTTCAGAAATCAGGATATGTGTAATAAAATTAAATGACATAGGGAAAGAACTTGCAGAAAGGGAGTTGTAAAAGGCATGGGAAGCCCAGACAGCAATCACTAATAACCTGACCTGAATCCAACAGAAAAATAAAACTAAAGATCAAAGAGTTCAAAGAAGAACCACATAACTTCAGTTTCCATACAGAAGCATCTTAAAGCTTGAGGTGTTTGTTTGTATGTTTTGACTGTATAGAAGTTTAGCAAAATCTGGGTGAATTCATTTCATCAGCTGCTAAAAAATATATTACCAGGGAAAAAAACCTGATGTGCTCAATACTTATTTTACTCTCTGTAGGTTCTCTGAACACCTGAATTAACAAGTTTTCCATCACAAGTTCATTAATCATCAGCCTTAAGGTTGTTAACATGCCTCATCATTTTAAAAGAATAGGTATAATCCTTAGACATTAGAGTGTAATTTAGCTCCAAAGTCAAATTTAATTACTATTAAATACCACACTTCAGGGTCAAAAGAGTCAAAGAATTGGATCTATTAATACCTCACCATGTGCCAAATAAGCATACTGCCAAGTTTCAAGTATCTGACCATAGTTATTAGAAAACTGAGAAACATTAAATCACAAATTCTTGAATTATTATATTTATATATTATACTATGTCTGGAGTTGAACTGTAAGAGTGAATGAATAGTTGTAATGATTGGAAAAATAATAATAACTCAACACTCTTTTAAGTAAAGTTCCAAAAGAGATTCTCAGCAGTGATGTCTTAGCAAAACTATTTTTGCTACCACAAAAAGAGCATGCAATTCCTAAACAAGACATTCATTTATTAGTGTGAAGAACATTTGATTCGTCTAAATGCTTTTTCATGCTTTAAAGAAAATTTGTGGCGAGTATAAAAGTTTCATGCACATAAAATATAAAACTTGTATTTTTAAAGGTGTGTTTGCACTATTGTAACAGTGATTGGATCATTAAATTTAACAAGGACAAACACATTAAGGTGGGCTTCATAATGTCAAGTCTTTATTGGTCATGTGCCATACAGCAGTAAGATAATGACTAAACAGAAGTTACATCGACTACATTCAGCTCCTACAGATTCCAGTCATCCGACACACAGTGGCCCCTACACACTAGCTAGCAAAACAAGGTCACATTCTCAGCAGAAATAACAGGTTAAAGCACACCCAGCCAAACTCAGAATGCTGCTGGTGGCTTAAGGCATTTTTCAAACCTACAGCATTCATACATAAATAGTAGCATTTTTAGATGGAATGCATTGGTGTAAAAGTGGGTTGACTTTTTATGGAGCAATGTTGATCGCACATGCATTACAAAAGTTTGGCAGTGCAGGTTTGACAGTCTCCCTTTGCTTTCTGCAACCCTCAAAAAAAGTCGAAACATTCAGATTCAGATAGATTTCCTTGACAGAGTTACCATGTTTTGTTAACTGAGCATCTGTGAGAATGGAAAGACAACATTTGAGATGTGCCTGATATTCTCTTACACCTAAGCATGCCAATGTCACAGTGTTTATCAGAAAAATTTATTCAGACTGAGAAGGAAATCCATTCACTTTGATTCCCACTAGGTGAATCATATACAGTGAATTAAAGAAACAATCCACTTTTAAAACTTTTTGCTTAGCATAGATCATTGAATCAGATTAGCATATTGCACAAAAATAATCAGAGTTTGCAGTAGACAATTTTCCTATTTATAATGTGTCTCTTCTGTAGATCTGTAGCATATTTTCAGACAATTTTTAAACACCTTCTGCAGCCACAGTTCGACAGCAAAAATTGGTAATGCCATATCAGACTAGAAAATAGCTACTTTCAGTCTTAGTACATGATGAGACTACAGAAGAGTGTAAATAGGAAAATGTTTTGGTCATTTTTGAGCAAGATGCTAATGGTCTAATCTCATTCAATGATCTATGCTAAGTTAAAAGTGTTCCTGCCAGATTTTGAGATTGGCTGAATAGATTCATATATGGTAAAATTCAACTGTTTATCTCTAGCATTGTAAAATGAAAAAAAAAAAAAGTGGAGCGTTCCTTTAAGATCAACAATATCAAACCCTTCAAACTATCATTTGAAACAGTGCAGCAAGTCAGGCTTAACAAAGCCATGACATGGAGGCAAGAGGCAATTGGTTTCAAAACCTGGCAGTGTAGCAGAGGTGCTTTTTTTACTAGCATTTACTGTATAAGGATGGATATTTAAGTTGTTGATCTATGCTTAATGGAAGGTCACCGTAACGGTGGCTTCTTTGTATGAGAGTACACTGTGTGAAGAGAACTTGATTCAAGTACAAAATTGAGGTGTTTAAGATACAATATGATAGTTGTGTTAGTGATCGCGTTTCCATACTGTCAATGTGCTTCAAGAATCCACAAGTATACAAGGATAAAGTTGAAATGTTGATGCGTTCTCTAACATTTAAATACCATTACTTTTCCTAACAAACTCAGAATATCTGTATTATCCACCCAAATTCAAGCAATTCCACTGCAATCTCATAGAAATTTGTAACTTATTGATTTAGTGGCTAATTTGTATAAATTTGTACGATCTCATTTCCACATTTTAATATAATTAGCTTATCTCCTAATAACAGTTTATTTTAGGGGTGGAGTTTGGCAGAACGCCTCCTTTTAAAATCGTTTTGAGTTTGGAATTATCTACTTTTATGACAATACATATGTTTGCTTGTGAGATTGGGCTGACAATTATGAAAACAAAAAAACAAAACTCAGAAACGAGGTCAAACTGAACTGGCTCAGACGACCCTTTCTCTCCCAAACTCCTATTTTCTTTTTATTTACGCAGCTTTCATGAAACCTCTCCCCCTATTTCTCCAATAACTCCTCCTCTTCCCTTTAACTCTGACAGCTGATATGAATGAGATGCTGTTTACATTTAAGTGCCCTGACTTGACTGACGGTATTTGTCAGAATTTTTATTGATCTCAAGCATTTAGCAGCATGTGAAAGGCTTCAGCAGTATTGTGTAACATTCTTACTCCCAGTCTTGCCAATTGGCTGGTAGACAAACTACAGCCTGAAGAACTGAGAGGAATGGCAGGCACACCACTATGAAAGTAAACTCTTACAGGACCCACATACAGTCACCATGCAAACAGCAGATATACCTCATGCAGTGAGGACTTGCTATGTAGGCTCAAATCTTTGTCGTTTTTAAAAGGCAAGAGGGTTGGGTTAGAAAAAAAAATGTTTCGAATGAGATGGAGAGTAGTCTTGGAGAGGAATTTGGATCGAGGTTAGAAACTGATTGATTGGTTGATTGACTGATAGATTGAATGATTGATTAACTGTTTGATTGATTCATTGACTGATTGATTGGCAGGAATGCCTTATATGGTTAACTGGGATTAGGAATCAGAAGCATTTTTGATACATAAATACTCCCTGACAACAATAATGACACTGCAAACAATAAAAATAATCAATTAATAATAATAATATTTCTTAGAGGTTTTGTCTTGTTTCAGGTTAAAACATCTAGGTTTTTGTAATCAAGAAGCATTTTCCAGGAGCAAAAACTATTATCTTGTGTTCTGATAAATTAAAATAAAATTATAAATCTAAATTAAGTGAGTTTTTAATTTTTCTAATAGCAAGCAGTATATTTTGCAGTGTGATAAGCAAAATAATCTTGTCTTCAAATTATTTTACTTACCCAATTGACAGATTATTTAGCTTAATTTAAGGAAAAAAATATATATATATAATAACATATTATGATCTTGAAAGCAAGTAAATAATTTGTATTTGTCCAGAAAAAAATGCTTGATTTAAGTATTTTTAAATATTTCGACAAGAAACCAGACAAAACATCTAAGTATTTTATATAGATTTTATTTTATGTTTTGCTGTGAATAAATGCTTTGCCGTTGCTTATAGTTTACATTGTGACACAGACAGAATTATTGCAAGTCAACCTTTATGCTGGATTTTGGAAAGATTGCAGCACAAAAAGCTACCTTCACATATAGATATATTTCCTTAACAATGTGCCAAGAGAAGCCCATTATAGTGCAGATAAACAGTGGTGATATGATTCCGAGAGCACCTGGAAATTGATTATGTGCATCCAAGACTGTGACACCTGGGGTGCACTGAGTTGCAAGTGATTTGCTACAATGGGACTGCTGCCCTGTGACTGAGTGGGAGGTTTATTGAGTAGAGAATAAATTGAAATACACCTAGATTCCTCTCTGAGACCCCCTTTTGTGGAGAGAGATTGCTTGGAGAAAGGAAAGGGGTAATGGAGAAGGCAGAGGGAGAAGAGGAAGAAAGTAATAAGGGGTGAGACTTTTAGTTTTTCTGGTTGGTGGAGTTCAGGTCTCCGGAGTCGATCTTGTCATTCTTCTTGGAGTCGTCAGACTGGGAGGAGCCTTTGCCGGGTTTGCCGCTCTGCTGTTTGTCGTCATCATCCTTGACCTCCTTCTTTGAGCTCATGCTGGTGCTGCTGTACAGGCGGGACTGGTAGCTGTAGCTGGACACCGAGGCAGGGGTGGGGTAGGTGATCCCAGTGCTGATACGCGTCTCCTCCCCTTCCAACAGCTTCCTGAGATGGACAATAGCAGACGGTAAACAAAGAGAAGGCAGTGAGGGAGAAGGTGTTAAAGTGAACGGTGCAAGATATTTGTTTATGAGAAGTCATTAAGAACAATACTGGTTTTCATTTAGGTCACAGGTGTTACATCATAAAAAAATACAGCAAACACCTTATATTTCAATAACAGTGATGGTTTATTACCTGTAAGCAGCTATTTCTATGTCAAGCGCCATCTTGACATTCAGCAAGTCTTGATACTCCCTAAGATGACGGGCCATCTCACTCTTAGTGGTCCTCAGATCATTCTCCAGCTCCCCAATGGAATCCTAGATGACGTGATAATTCTAATTAAAGCTGCTGCATATAAATTGGGATATTTGGTTAAATGATGAAGGTATTTCCATTAAGGCTGAAATAACCCATTTTCCAAAGGATTTTTGCAGCAATAAAAAAGAGAGATCGTTTTGAGTTGCTCAAAAAACATGAACAATTCTTTCTTCTTCTTCCTCTCTCTCTCTCTTTCTCTCTCTCTCGCTATCTATCTATCTCTCTCTTTTTCTTTCTATTTCATATTTTATTCATAAATATTTAAATAATCAAATATATATATATATATATATATACACAATAAAAAATGAGATTTTAATTGTACATTAGAAAATTAATAGGCTTTAATTTAAGACAATACATGCAAGAAAGAAAGAAATAACAGTAATGTACCTTTAATTAATTTTATTTATTTATTTATTTGCATGTTTGTTTGTTTGTTTTTATTTATTATTTATTTATTTATTTATTTATTTATTTATTTATTTATTTATTTATTTATTTATTTATTTATTTATTTATTTATTCTTTTAACAACACTTTTTTATAAATATTTTATAATAACTATTATATTTAGGAAAGGTTAGGTTGTGACAACATTTTACAAAATATCCAGGTGGTAATTCTGCTTTGTCTAAGTAACTGTTTGCACTTAAAAAAATAAAATTAAATAAAATCTGTAAGCAAAAGGGCAGGATGCATAGTATTCAGTATCTGGAAATTGTCTGTTTTAATTTATTGATTTACTTCTCTTTTATTATTTTGCATGAAATTTGGATTACGTTTTAGAGTTAACAAATGTCAGCAAAAAATTAATGGTTTAATTATAAATGTCTCTTTTTTAAACTTAGATTTAGTTTGAAGTAGCTTAGTTTTAGCACCATGGACAGAGAAGCAGTAACATTTAGTCAGTGCGGTCACGCCCATTTCACAGACACCTTTTGTCTGCTGTCTGAATAACTGGAGCGCAAGTATCTACCGGTGATTACCTAATGATATAACTGGGGATACAATTATATCAAATGATTGTTTTAAGAAAACATGTTCACAATTTTTAATGAAATAAATAAAACAGAGAAATTCTTTACTGAAATGACATCATCCTTTAACTCTGTTGAACAAGTGCGAAATGAAAACTGGAAAACCAACCTGGTAGCCCATGATCTCGGCGTTGTGCCTGTCCTCCATCTCATGAATCTGCCTTTCAAGAGATTCATTTGTACCCCTCAGACTCTCGATCTCGATGGTCTTGGACTGCAGCTGCCTCCTGAACTCGTTGAGCTCCTCCCTGCTAGCGCGAATGACCTCGTTGCTCTTGTTGGCCTGTTCGCTAAGGTCGGCGAACTTGGACTTGTACCACTCTTCAGCCGACTGCAAGTTCTTGCTCGCCATTGCTTCATACTGGCCGCGAATATCCTTTAGGGCGGAGGTGAGGTCGGGTTTGGCCACTTCCATCTCCACGGACACCTGGCTAGCCTGGATCATGTTCATGAGCTCGGCCACCTCCTCCTCGTGCACCTTCCTTAAAAAGTTGATTTCATCCAGAAGGGATTCGACCTTTTTCTCCAGGTCTAGACGCACCATGGAGGCGTTGTCCACGTCCTTCTTGAAAGCTCTCAGGGTTTGCTCGGCCTCCTCGCGCATTCTCATCTCTTCCTCAAACTTCTCGTGAAGTTTCTGTAGGTCTTCCTCGATACTGTCGCGCTCGAACATCATCTGGTTCTTCTCGGCGTTGAGTTCCTCGAGTTGGGAGCGCAGCTCGCGGATCTCCTGCTGGTAAAGTTCGGCCAGACGGGACGGTTCTGTCTGGCGCTGGCGCAGAGTCACGAGTTCGGTTTCCAGCACTTTATTGTGCTGCTCCAGATTGCGAACTTTCTCAATGAACATCGCGAAACGGTCGTTGAGCCCTTGCATCTGCTCCTTCTCATTGGTGCGGATGATTTTAAACTCATTGTTAAGCACGGTACTCTGGGTGAAATCGAAGCTGTCCAGAGAAGAAGACGGGAAGCCAGATCGGGTGGAGCGCTTGTAGGAGCTTGGGATGTTGGGGCGGTTCACAGACTGGGATTTAAACCCGCTCCGGGAGCTGCTCAGCCGGGATGGAGAGGCTGAGAAACGGGTGGAATCTCCGAAGATCTTCCGGTAGGAAGAGGCAGAGTAGATGTCGGATCCGTAGCTCATCTTGGCGTTTGACGATAAGGAGCAGAACTCCGGCGGCGTCTCCTTTTATAGCAGGACCGTCCCAATCAATAATTTAGCCACGCTTCTCCTCGCATCAACCTTCCTCACTGCAGATGTTTTAGGTGGACAGAGCCCAAAGAAATGTGACGAATAAGCTGATCTATGGGTTATTTTAACTTTAAAGGGGCAAATAATGATTTCTGTCTATTGAGGATGTTCACACAATCCTTCAGGCTGGAAACTCGATAGCAGCGGGCGGATGGAACTGTCCATTTTGGCGCAGTGCTGATGTCAGCAAAATACCTACGTTAATCACACTCATGGCACATCTGAAGAATACCTATATATTGCTTAATCTCTAAAAAATGACATCTATCCAAAACACACCCAACAATATTGTAACATTGTGATAAATCCAAAGATAAGGATATTATATTATATTATATTATATATATATAAATATAATAATAATATTAATAATAACAATAATAATAATAATAATAATAATAATAATAATAATAATAATAATAATAATAATGCATTATGTAATGTTGAGGAGCCATGGGGGCATTAACAGTCAGAAAATGGGCTAGCATTAAAACTAATTTTGCCTAGGCCCCTGGCTGCATTCATTCCTAATTCAACGACGAGATCATTTAGTTCAACTTTAATCAGTGGTGCAATGGTCGTTGCACATGATTCTGGGAATGTCTTTTTCTCTGTAAAAATATAAAGTAATAGTTTACGCAATAAATTTGTTTGACTTGTAGGTAAATATATTTTAAAAACATGAAGCAAACTTTGTGTACTTTATTTAAAGCAATTTTACAACCGTACAGTTATTTATTACTTATATGTTCAGTTTTTATAGAAGTAATGGTTTACTTTTGTTTGTTTCACACCAAACAAAAATTCAAGACTAATAAAACTATGGCTTAACCTTTTTCAGTCTCAACGTTGTTGAAAAAGTTAGATTTTTACCAATAAATATATTTTGTATATTGTGAATATAAAAACATAATAATTGATTAAACTGGAACCTACTAAAAAGTTTCAAGTCTTTGGGCGACACAAAAGAGGTTGTCTTTCGTCTACGAGTAGTTATCCAAGGCTGCCATCTGTTGGCAGATTGAAAGCATAGAGACAACATTTAGCATCTGATTTTATCCAAAGCGATTTAACAACTGAAGCAATCAATCTATTGTAACAAACAATGAGAAGTTTGGCAAACTGTTCATGTATTGCCTTGTTGAATGTTATTAGTTTAGTGTTATTGGGGCAGATTTTTTTTGTAATATAATTTGATATGATAATATAATTATCATATCATATAAAAAAAGACTTGTATTTCAATGCAGACAATACAGCAAACATTATAAAATGTGTTCCTCATGATTTTACTGATTAATTTTACTTTAACTTATTTAATTGTATTTAATTAATTTAATTTTAATTTAATTTAATTTTATTTTATTTATTTAATTTATTTAATTTATTTAATTTATTTAATTTAATTTTAATTTTATTTATTTATTTATTTTATTTATTTATTTTTCAAAGTAAACACATATCCAATTTTGGTTCGTGCAACACATTCTAAAAAAGTCTCCATGACAACCATCAGATGCTATCTACAAGCCAACAAGCTGTTTAAGAGGTAGGCAAACATAAACAACTGGAGTTTGTAGAACCGTGTGCTTTGGTAAGATGGGACTAAGTTAAGTGGGTCTTGTAAAAAACAAAAGATGTGCATGCAAAAACAAACAGACAAACTAACTTTTATCACTATGTGAAGTATGGTAGAGGATCTGTGATGTTGTGGGTCTGTTTCTCTTCCAAAGAACCATGTTAGGGTGTAAGGCATCACCTGGACATTTTTTTTTAATCAAAACCTGATGCCAGAACGCTGAAGATGGGTCATCGCTGGGTCTTTCAGCACAATACTAATCTAATACATGTGGTAAAATCTACAGTAAACACAAAATCAACAAAATCAAGACACAAAATCAAGATCCTCACATGGCCTATCCATCTCCAGATCTCAACCGAATTGAAAGCCTGTGGGATGTGCTGAAGAAAAGAGTAGTTTTAGAGATATTTCTCTTTTTATTATTTTTTTTACTGTTGTTGTTTATTTTTCTGTTTTATGTAAATCTATAAAATAATACAATTAAAAAGTAGATTTACAGTGCTCAGCATTTCTACAGTGCTCAGAGTACCTCTGTCACAAATCTCTCTTTTAAATTATAATTTTCTATAGAATGCTTTACAATATTGTATTTCTGCATATACATTAGATTAGTCAGTATTGAAGCCATATTTGGAGCTAATCTAATAAAATAAACTACAATGGGCAGTACTAATAAATATATTTTTTAAAAATTTACTTGAAGTACACTTATTTTCATTAGGGTATGCATTCACAGTAGAGTATGATGGGGCAGTTTAGCTGTTTTCATGAAGTCTAAAATATCTCATATTAAAATGTCTAGAAGCTAAACGATTTTTTTTTCTCTAAATATCCCCTAAAAAAATGTTACCGTGCATCCGGAAAGTTTTCATATCGCTTCACTTTTTTTCCGCATTTTTAAGGCAAGGCAAGGCAAGGCAAGTTTATTTATATAGCACATTTCATACACAGTGGCAATTCAAAGTGCTTTACATAAACAGGAATAAAAAAGACACGTTTAGGACATAAAATGCAGACAATAAAAATGATTAAAAACAGATAAAAACAATTTAAAATGTGTTAAAATAGGTTATAAAAGAATAAAAAAGAAAACGAAAAAACATAATAGTGCGATCTGACGGACGTAGCACAGTACTCATACAGTAAAGGCACAGCTAAACAGATGTGTTTTCAGTCTTGATTTGAATGTTCCTAATGTTGGAGCACATCTGATCATTTCTGGAAGCTGATTCCAGCAGCGAGGGGCATAGTGGCTGAAGGCAGATTCACCCTGCTTTGACTGAACTCTTGGAATTTCTAGTTTATATGATCCTAAAGATCTGAGTGATCTGTTGGGTTTGTATTCAGTGAGCATATCTGTAATGTATTGAGGTCCTAGGCCATTTAATGATTTATAGACCAGTAATAATACTTTAAAATCTATTCTAAATGTGACTGGCAGCCAGTGTAGAGACCTGAGGACAGGTGTGATGTGCTCTGATTTCCTGCTTCTGGTCAGAATTCTGGCTTTAATGTTACTTCCTTATTCTAAAATCAATTAAATTAATTTATTTCCTTAAAATTCTACACACAATAACCTATAATGACAATGTGAACAAATATTTTATTAAATTGTCTCAAATTTATAAAAAATAAATAAATAAATAAAAAGCCTAAAAATCTCATGTACATAAGTATTCACTGCCTTTGCTGTGAAGCTCTAAATTGAGCTCAGGTAATTCTGTTTTCACTGATCCTTCTTGAGATGTTTCAGCAGCTTAATTGGAGTTCACCTGTGTCAAATTCAGTTGATTGGACTTGATTTGAAAAGGCAAACATCTGTCTAAGGTCCCAGGGCTGACAGCAGGGCCGGAGTGGGACTCCTTTTCAGCCCTGGAATTTCAAGCCTCAGACCGGCCCACCTCAGTTCATGACTGACTATATTAAAATAAGGTAATTTCCAATTCAGTTTCTAATTACACTATCATGTCTTTTTTTTTTTTTTTTTGAGAGAACAGCTGCTTTAGAACTTCAAATGTTCAACAACCCTAACAGTATAATATGTCTTAACAATAAAAATGAAAAAAAATAAATTACTTAGGTGAGGATCAAACCCCAGTCGGCAGCGTCATAACCTAAAGTGCTAACCACTGGACCACAACAGCTGTACAATAATAGTAGACTCATCTAAGTTATATCATCATTAACCTGCAGGCTGGGAAAAATAGATAAAAAGAGCAAAGCTGCGGTAAAATAATGAATAAAAACTGTGGTCAAGTAAATAAATGAATTAATTAATTTAAAAAGTGTGACTGCTGAGAGCAACAGATTCTGGAGCTTGGGACACCGGCCCTCGCGGCCAAAAAACGGACCGGCCCACCGGGAATTCTCCCGGTCCTCCCGATTAGCCAATCCGGGCCTGGCTGACAGTGCATGTCAAAGCACAAACCAAGCATGAAGACAAAGGAATTGTCTGTAGACCTCCGAGACAGGATTTTCTCAAAGCACAAGGCTGGGGAAGATTACAGAAAAATATCTGCTGATGAGCACAGTGGTCCCCATCATCTGTAAGTGGAAGATGTTTGGAACCACCAGGACTCTTCTTAGAGCTGGTTAGCCACCTAAGCTGAGTGATCGGGGTAGAAGAGCCTTAGTCAGGGAGGTGATCAATAACCTGATGGTCCCTCTAGCTCCAGTGTTCTTCTGTAAAGAGAGGAGAACCTTTTACAGAAGGACAACCGTCTGTGCAGCAATCCACCAATCAGGCCTGTATGGTAGAGTGGCCAGACAAAAGGCCCTCCCCTCCTAGAATTTGCCAAAAGGCATCTGAAGGACTCTCAGACCACAAGAAACAAAATTTTTGGGTCCAATGAGACTAAAATTTAACTCTTTGGAGTGAATGCCAGGCGTTACGTTTGGAGAAATCCAGGCACCGCTCATCACCAGGCGAGTTCTATCCCTAAAGTGAAGCATGGTAGTGGCAGCATCATGCTGTGGGGATGTTTTTCACCAGCAGGAACTGGAAGACTAGTCAGGATTGAGGGAAAGATGAATGCAGTAATGTACGGAGACAACCTAAATGAAAACCTGCTTCAGTCTGATCATGACCTCAGACTGGGGTAACGGTTCATCTTCCAGCAGGACAATGACCCAAAGCACACCACCAAAATATCAATGGAGTGGCCTAACAACAATTCAGTGAATGTCCTTGAGTGGCCCAGCCAGAGCCCAGACTTAAACCCTATTGAACATCTCTGGAGAGATCCGAAAATGGCAGAACACCATCGCTTCCCATCCAACCTGATAGAGCTTGAGAGGTACTGCAAAGAGGAATGGGCAAAAATTTTCAAGGACCAGGTGTGCCAAGCTTGTAGCATCATATTCAAAAAGACTTGAGGCTTTAATTGCTGCCAAAGGTGCATCAACAAAGTATTGAGCAAAGGCTGTAAATACTAATGCAAATGATTTTTCAGTTTTTTAATTTTAAACAAATTTGCAAAAATTTTAAAAATCTTTTTCATGTTGTCATGACAGGGTATTGTGTGTAGAATTATGAGGAAATAAATCAATTTAATCCATTTTGGAATAAGGGTTTAACATAAAAAAATTTTACAAGTGAAGCACTATGAATACCCTCCGCATGCACTGTATATACAGTGCTCAGCAATAATACACCCCTTTAGAAAATTTCTAATTATGTTAATTTCTCTGTAAATACAGTATAAGCACTAGCTAAGGTGCGTTTAAACAAAACAGTTTTATTAAACAGTTATATTCATCAAAATGAGAGTTTGGTCACCTAACATCTTCAGGAATAGAAAATAATACATTTAAATTCAAATTAATTATTGCTAAAAAAAAAAAAAAAACATACTACAAGATTTAAACTTACTCATTTATGTTGAGCACTGTAATCATAATGCAATAGAAACTTTTACAGGGTTAAGATAATAACGGAACCCATGAGCACCACAACAGTCTTAGGCTGCATCACATGATATGACACATGTTTGTGTCTTTAGGTAAAACTATCAGCTAAATTATAAATATGCAGATAGAGGACCTACTTCATTGATCCATGACCATTGATCTCAGAATATTCATCTAAACATTAAGAAAGTATTATATATTAAATGCCTGCAAAACATTATAGTAAAGATTCATCTGTTAAGACAAATTCTAGATAAAATGGACAACAATGAAAAAAATGCTTCTGCGGCATTAATCCTAGTTCCTGTTCATTTCATCTTTTAATACACTATAAATGCAAAGGTTGTAGGCCTGCTAGATTATTTAAGGGATAGTTCACATACACACCCAATGAAAATGTACACTCACTATTTATTCACCCTATAAGGTAGTTCCAAACCTTTATGAGTTAAATTTTTCATAAAAAGGAAGATATTTTGAATAATGCTGAAAACCTGTAACCATTGACATCCATTACAAGAAAAACTAATATTCCGCTGAAAAAAATAAATAAAAAAATGCAGGGTTTCACACAATTCATTCATGTTGTCCTAACACAAATTAAGTTAACAATACAGATAAGGCTTGATAAGGCAATCAATAAGGTAGATTATTACATTTAGGTAGACTTAAGGCAATCAAAGTTGTCCCAATTAATTCTCAAAAATTGTTTCAGCTCATTTTAAATAAGCAGTTTAACAAGCAACAAAAAACAACACAGTTTTTGTGTATAAGTCAATGGTTACAGGTTAAATAATTAAAAAAAAAAACTTATTTGTGTTCAACATAAGAACAGAAACTTAAACAGATCTTTGACAAGCAGAATGAGTAAATGATGACAGAGTTGTCATGATTCTATTTCTTGTAATTTATGTTAATATTTTACTGTGTTGTAAAGTGGTAACACTTAGGATTTCTATTGTTAGATCGCAAATTAGCGATAGCACCTAAACACCCTAACTTATTTTTCAGATTTTCATTTTAATGTACAGTAATGTGCACTATTTGTAAAGCTGCTGTGGGACAATAATTACTGTGAAAGATTCAAGATTCAAAGTGTTTATTGTAATATCCACAATAAGGAGCAGTTTCCCTGTACAATGGAATGATTACTTTTCTGTCCACACTAATAACAACAACAACAACAACAACAACAACAACAATAATAATAATAATAATAATAATAATAACTGCTGTTCAGAATCCAGCAGAGAATTAATAATGTGCAAAAAAAAAAAAAGTATAAAGTGTACCAAAAATATACCAAAAAGAACTATAAAAATAAAATTGAATTAAACTGAATTGAATAGAGTGAATGCATCGAGTACAAAATAATCTAGGTTCTGTTGATTTATAAATAATTAAAGTTCATACAATAATTAATGCTAGCATTTAAACAAAAAACAATGTAAACAGAGTGGGTTTTCAGCATTTTAAATGCCACGGACGACGATTTCACAAGCTCTCATCTTAAAAGTTAAAAGGCACCAATATATTTTCATGTTTCAAATCTTGCTATAAAAATAATAGATAGCATCTGTCTGAAACAAAAATATCTATAATCCATAGCTGTGAGTCTGTAAAATATGCACAGCTTATGTATTTTTTCCACAGCATTTAAAGTTTCAAGACATCCAAACCTATTGTCTCATTGTTAAATTCTGCAAATAAGTAGCCTACATTGTCAGTAAGTAAATAAATAAATGAATGAATGAATGAATGAATGAATGAATGAATGAATGAATGAATGAAAGAACATTTTACTTAAAACACGCATATTAATGCCAAATCAAAAGTTCCTCAGAGAACTATTAAGAGAGAATTCTGATAGACTGACAGACTTATTTTTATTTATTTATTCATTCATTCATTCATTCATTCATTCATTCATTCATTCATTCATTCATTCATTTATTCATTTTTATTTTTTTTACAATGTTATTGTTTTATTGTGCAAAACTGTTCTATCATTTGAACTATTTTTTACATTTTGTCATACACTGATTGTAAACATGTTTTAAATAAATCTTGTTAACAACGAGTTATCAGCAGGCCAACCATCTTCAAGAGATCTGCCTACTGTCCCGCCTTCGCATTCACCGTCTCTGATGTGATGACAGGTTTTTGCTCCTCCTCCTCTGGATGTAGCAGCGCAAGCACCGCCTAGTCCTGCCCACAACAACTGCTTACAGCTCGGTTATGAAAAGACGAGCTTTTGATTCACAATAACAGTAAAGACTCGCAGCTTCACTTGAAAAGCTACTGTATCGCATTCTGTCTCATTGATATTTCCCGAAGTCACCGCGGTTTACAGCGCTGCTCGTGCACTTGAGCTTTTGTGCTTTTCACGGAAGGTGAGTGAGCGGATCGGGTTGAACTTACAGTTGTTAATGTCAATGGTTTCTTTGGAGCGTTTGGCTCTCTTTTTACGTCTGTTTTGTTTACGTGAAAAGATCGGCGATGTTTGATGTCGTGCGCGAAGCTCAAGGTGATGTTTATTGTTGCGCTGTGAGCTCAGTCTGGTTTAATAAACTCTAGTAAAAATACATTTTACTAGAGCGTAAATAAACAACATAAGCCTCGATATAGAGGATCAAGAATGCTTGAAGATAATACATCCTTTATACATCACAAAAAAAGCTTAATCTGCTTGATTGTCAAGTTTGGTTTCAGCCGTTCACGAAGAAAATGCTAAGGCTGCCAACCAGCTAGCCTTTATAACGTCCTCTTGGGCTTTGTCCTTGTTTTTGAGCTCTAACTTTTTGTGATTATGGCTCGAAAATTGCATCTGAATAGCTCAAGGAAACAAACTGTTTCAGGTAGATATTTATATGAGCGAGTTTTAGCCTTCAGTGTCGTCCTGCTGCTTCCTGTGAGATGTTGCAAGAATGCTTTGCTACAACTTAAATTTGAACGTCGATTTGGGTAAAACATTTGTAAATTATTCTATTTTTGAGCCAGCTGTGCTTAAATATTGTGAAATTTAAAGCAAAGGTAACAAAACCAATCAACCTTGAACTTCTCCCATGACAGAACATTTTGCCAATCTAAACAACTTGCTTAAAAAAAGAGTTTTTTTTTTCCTTTTTATGTATCTCTTCATTCAAGGGTTAGGGTGAATTGGGTTTTAAATCTTCACATTCAGACTTTGACATTCAATAAAGTAGTAAAGCAGAATTAAAAAAGAAGCTAAAACAGATTAATTATAATGTAGTACTTTTATGAGCACAACTGACACACTGCCTCTATTGTTTACCATCTTTGAATATTCGCTCTGAAATTAATATCTTCAATAGGCATGGTCCGGTATAAGATTCTGACGGTATGATAGCCTTTGATAAAAATATCACGGTTTCACAGAATCACGTCATTGTGAGTACTGCTCTAAAACATGTACATTTTAAATGTCTGGGTAAAAACAAAACCTTTTTTCCCTTTGAAAACTATATATATATATATATATATATATATATATATATATATATATATATATATATATATATATATATTATTATTATTATTATTATTTTATTTATTTTTTTTTTTTTTGGAAGATTTATAAAATTTTGGATCAGTAAACATGTCAGGCTAAATAATTCAAATGAATAATTCACTTCTGCTGTCTTCATTAGTTTTAAAAACACAGATTTATTTACAATTTAAAATGCCATGTTTGGATATATATATATATATATATATATATCCAAATTGGATATATATTGGATATATATATATATATATATATATATATATATTATTTTATTTATTTATTTATTTTATTTATTTTTTTTGCTGGAGATACTGTTGTCCAAAAAAGTTTAAAAAAAAGTAAATAAAAATATTACACATAGCTTTGGAACGGTATTGCAGAAAATGTTGGCGGTTTTAAACATTGACTTTTCCAAACCGAAACAAATGACTTTAAAACAACATTAGCAACTATTTAACTGACTTTCAATAATGTTGTACCTTAATAGTCATTGGCGAATAATATGATTTCTCTATATAGAATTGGCAAAAAATACTTTACTGAAATTATAATACTTTTATCTAATGGTTCAAGGATCAAGTGCACACAAACAGAAGAAAAACACCATTAGTTTTTCCCCGAAATTCAGTCTCTCCGCAGTGAGCTATTATTGCTGCCTATACTTGGTCTACTTTTTTTTATTATTATTTTTTTTTGCTGATTTACTGAAGGAGTTTTAACCTAGTTTTTTGTCAATGGCCTGTTTTTCAGTTGTTTGCCTTAAGAAGCATGGCTAAATATTTGAAAAAGACAAGTGGTGAGAAAACATTATTCTAAAAGCAAGCTATCACAGCTTTTATCCTCGGCAGAACGATCATAAAAAAGGCGACTGGTGGGAAAAATCTCTTTCCATTGCCCTTAAGGTCTCTGGCTTGTTTGTGCAAGTCAGCCTTTGTGAAGGCCACTGGCCCCAGTATGCTGACTCAAGCTTCTATGCTATTTGACATTCATCTTGCTTAGGTGGTTTGGATGGTGCTTGATTTGTTTTGAGGTGTAAATTAACTTCTTTCAAGATTGAGAGGCTAGAAAATATCAGGTTGTCTGTCTCTATTCTGGTTTCTTGCCTGTCTTTTATTCACATACTTGAACTGTTTCCATACCAATAACAAACAAAGGGATTGTTTATATTGGCATCGCATATCTGTAAGTACCATATCTTTACCAGAAGTTGTGAAAATGGTATTTAAGATGTAATATTTAGGAAAGGATTTCACAATAACTTAATCTGCTTTTCTCGTGTGAGAAGCAAACAGCAACAGAGGGAATCAAGGCTTAATGATTTCTATTTAAATCACTTAGATATTCAAATCACTCAGTTGTTAGTTTGTCTTTCTTGATTCTGATGCAATTAGATGACAAGTCAGCACTTGATCTGGCACACTTTGTGTTTTGGCCTGTGATCGAATCTATAGATAAAGACTAATCCAATCTTAGAAATCTACATTTATTTATTATTTAATGGGATTTTTTTTGTTAGATAAGAAGGACAAATCGGTTAAAAAAGTCTTTAAAGGAATAGTTTATGCAAAATAATTAAATGATTTTATCATTTATTCACTTTTGGCTTGATCCAAACCATTTTTTTTCTTTTCTTTTTTTCTTTCTGTTGAACCAGTAACCATTGGCTTCCTACTATGGAAGTCAGTGGTTACCGGTTTCTCACATTCTTCAAAGTATCTTATTTTGTATATTTTGCCCCTCAAAAATGTTATTTTGAATGAACTATCTCTTTAATAGATGTTATAAATGTCTTTACAGAATCCTAACTGACAGATTTAATGATGACGACATCATGGAGTGATCGACTTCAGGACTATGCAGACCTCCCGGCAAACATGGACGGCCTGGCGATGAAGAAATACAGGAGAGAGGCCTATCATAGGTAAATCAGACAAATAAATGGACCATTTAATAGCTGTTTAAAAATTGGGTCGCTAGGCTTAGAAAGATGGATTAGTCCATTTAAATTCAGGGACATCGTGTACTCTGAAGGAAAGTGCATTTTGTAGATTTGCACAAATACTTTATTTCTTTCTGTTTAGAAGAAGTGGCATTTGTTTGCAGTCCACACATTTTAGAAGAGCTGATGCAGTTTGAGAGTTTACAATAGTTTTTACTGAGTGATCCATAAGCACATACTTTATGATTTTAGCAGCTTATGTGGCAAGTTAAGAATGTGAACAACTCTGTTAAGAAAAGATGCACTTATTTAGACCGTAACTCCCTTGGTAAATATGGGGTTTTTAAAGCTAAAATAAAGAATGAACTTATCTAATTATAGGTCAAACCCTGCAGCTAAGGTTGAAAGTACATACTGAAAACAGGCACGGGTGGAACATGTGATGGAAGAACATAGAGAATCTTTTGCAACCCCACAAATATGGAGTTTATGCTGGGAACTGGCATTTTGTAATCTTTAATAGATAAGTTCAGTGCTATTCAGTTCTTCACAAAGAAACATGCCTCTTTTAGCACGCGTTACCGTTTTGGCTTTAATCCAGCTAAAGGTCACTTATGTAAAAGAGTATACTCTTCGTACTATGTGTGCACTTTGACTTTACGTTTTCTCTGTGCTGAAGCCAAAAGTTCACTGCTTTTTCCATTACTCAGATAAGTGGGTGGAGATAAAAAAAGAAAACGTGAGTGTCATGGCAGGTATTCCAGGGTTCGTCTATTTGAGGTCCAAAGGCAGTGGTGTTATCTGGTGTCTTGTACTGTGAAAAAATGGTCAGCTTTGTGTGACTTGGTTTAAATTTAATGGACCACTGGAATGTATATTTTGTCAGATTTTTTTATTTATTTATTTTTTTTAGTCTCATTTAGTTCTGTGTCAAATTTTCATTATTTTTCACAGTCTTGTTCTTTTTTGTCTCAATCAGGTTAATTTTAGTCATTCACCTAATCTCATGTCATCTTGCATAATGGTTAAACTGATAACACTGATTATTTTGTTCACAATTAAAATTGTAGTGATTGTTTTTATCTCTCATTAAATATTGTTACATGACAATAGAATTATTCTCTTCTAAGTAGGCATGGGATGATAACCGGTTTCAAGGTTTAAATTAAAAACAGTAAAATTTTCAGTTATACCATTCCTAAGGTATATAAACTTGTGTCTGTGTGTGTGTCTGTGTGTGTGTCTGTGTCTGTGTCTGTGTGTGTGTCTGTGTGTGTGTCTGTGTGTGTGTCTGTGTGTGTGTCTGTGTGTGTGTGTCTGTGTGTGTGTGTGTCTGTCTGTGTGTGTCTGTGTGTGTCTCTGTGTGTCTCTGTGTGTCTCTGTGTGTCTCTGTGTGTGTCTGTGTGTGTGTGTGTGTGTGTGTGTGTGTGTGTGTGTGTGTGTGTGTGTGTGTGTGTGTGTGTGTGTGTGTGTGTGTGTGTGTGTGTGTGTGTGTGTGTGTGTGTGTGTGTGTGTGTGTGTGTGTGTGTGTGTGTGTGTGTGTGTGTGTGTGTTTAAGACTATTTTATTTAGGTTTTTAGGGCAACATTATCTTCAGCAGAAAATGACCCACTATATCAAAAGATTCTCAGCAAATATGTGAAAAACAAATCACTTACACACCAACATTCAAGCATGCTATAGACCTGAACAGTGTGGTGGCTTACTTTATATCCACGGAAAAGAAAGATATCCAAAGATTTCTTTTTCAGGTGTGATTAAATCTGTGTTTTTGAAACTAATGAAGACAGCAGAAGTCAATGATTTACTTTAATTATTTAGCCTGACATGTTTACTGTTCCAAAAATATTTTAATGTTTCTTAAAATAAAATATATTGTGTTCAAAGCGGAAAAAGCTGTTTTTTTTTTCTTTCTTTTTTTCAGACATTTAAAAAGAACATATTTTAGAGCAGTAATCACAGTACCGTATATTTATATCCAAGGTTATCATACAGTCAGAATTTTATACCGGGCCATGCATACTATTAAGCACAAACCTTGTGAACACACGAGGTCCAGTTTCACAAACAAGGCTTAGATTAAGCCAGGACTAGGCCTTCAGTAATTAAAGGTGCAGTAGCAGATCTGGAAAATGCTAACTTTAGCATGATAGAAGTGAAAATACATAGCCCTTCCTTCAATTTGCCATCCAAAGCCCCCCCTCCTGAAGTCATGAAGACGCATTAAGTAGATGACCTTAGACAACATTATAAGACTACATCATGAGCCATTCACTGGTGAGAACTTAATAGTACCTTATAAAAAAATACAATTTTAAGCTTAAAATCATTTTGGAAAAAAAATATTATCCTAAATAAATTGTTGCATAAAAATCCTGTTATTGTTGTTCATGTTGCTGGTTACATTACAGAAATGTTTCCAAGGCAATGACCATATTTCCAAAGAGTTATGCTATCAGTACTACATTGGATAATGAAACGTGCTGATTGGACCAGAACGGCATAGAATAGTTAAGCAAAAAGGATCGTTTAACCTGATAGTGGAAAAGCAGCTTTGTCACTGTATTTAAGATAATTCATATAGGAACATAATTTATACAAGCTTGCATATCAAAAAAATAAATAAAAAATCATCGTCTACAAGAAATACTGCAACAATATTGTCATTCTTCCAGCCTGCAAAAGTGACTGCGAAATTGATTTTGGATTTAAAATGGTGCTGATTCTGCTGTTTTGAGGGGCAGAAGGACTTTTAAAGACCTTCTTTCTTTTCATTGACACAAGGCCACTTTGCATTAGTATTTCAGAAAGAAAGTCAGGTTGATGTTGTTTGCCTGCCGTTGTCACTCTGTCTGTCATCAACATTTATCTGCACATGATGTATCTATCTGAATAAGCAGGGTGCCAGGCAAACAAATCTATATATGTTGACACATGTTGACCGTAATGTTTGGCCTGAACATTTTGATAGAACAAACATTTGTTTAGTCCTACGCCTTAAATGCATATTAATATATTTAGAACACTTACTTTAATCATTACTATCTGAATGTGAAGAGGCTTTCAACCTGCACAACAGTCACATAAACCTTGTCTCGGAAACCTTGTGTTATTATGAGCTGTTTATTGCATAAATTAACACAATCTGTTTGTCAAAATCATCATTTTCTGCAGCCAAAGATTTTTCCCTAAAAGAGCTTACATCTTTGTCTTGAATCATTGAACAAATGATTGGCAAATGCTAGTATGAGGATGCTTTTTGACCATGCTCCTGTTTCATTCACATAAATTTATCAGCATTGTTGATACACTGATTTTTATTAAGTCATACATGTATTTCAGAGCCTATTACCTTATAAAAAATGCTCTGACTCAACTTTGGATGCTTGCTCTCGAACCTTTCTTAATCCCGCACTCTCTTAGTTTGTTACTTTTCACTTTCGGGACTATAATATTATGATAAAACATTACTGATCAATCAGAAGTAGCGCCTACACCAATGCTCAAATCCCATCTAAAGTTGTTATTTTGATGTAAACAAAGTCAGAAAGGGTGACTGATGTTTTTATCCCAATGGCAGGGCTTTTATTTACATAACAGTCATATATTTTCCATTGATTATATAGGAGTGGTCTGTCTCCTCCCATTTAGTTTGTCTCTGGTACAGTATAAGTAGCCTATTTCCAAATAGAACGACAATAGGGATTCACTGTAGATTCAAGAGTAATCTGTTTACCAGCTGTCTCTAACTAGTGATCCACACTCTGTTGTCTGAGCCGCTGCTGCCGCCTGGTTCTTCCTGCTGTTGTTGATTGTTCTAGATGTCTTTGAAGGGAAGCAAACAACCCCTAACTCAACAACTGGCACAACAACAGAGAATGCTATAGAACTGGCACAATCGATTTTGCAACAAGTCAGAAATTGAATGACAAGAAAGCAAAGAGAGGGGGCTATTGTTGGAGCTGTGGGGGTAACAGGGCGAACAGGGAAATGGGCTTGACAGACCAGCTAGAGCAGAGACAGACACTCAGAATGCAGCGCGCAGGTTCTGCCTGGAGAAGTGAATCATGGGATATAGTCCAATGTTACGCCACCACAAGGTAGGATTGGGCAAAGTAGTTTTTTTGGTAGCAATTATTTGTCTTTTTGATAGAATTTGAGCTTGAAATATTTTTTTTAAGGTAGAAAAATGTATTGGTTTTGTGTTCTTAAAAATCTATATTCAAAAAATTGTTATTTTTGATGTCCCTAAGTTAAACATGGCTCTCAGAAACTTATTGTTGCAGTGACAGTGCATACACTCATGCATGTCCGTTATTGCCGGAGGTTTATCTTTGTCAGTATCAGATTAAATGCATGCACAGAGAGTGATTCAGATTTTCTTTTATGTTCCTATCCTAGCATTAAATGTCATGGCTTATGGGCTGAAGTGTAGAGCTGTCACTGTGCAAAATAAATGCAGATCACTTTTAGCATGTTGGCTCCATCACTTGGGACAGGAGTGTATTTATTGGCTAAAATGTCATACTGTAGTCGTTTTTAATATCTTCTTTAATAATGTTCTTTTAATATGTGTGTATTAATAGCAAAACAGCACATCAATATGCTCTTTTAGTTTTCATTTGTGAAATACATTTTTAGCATTTTTAGCAACTGTATTAGTTCTCTAGAGATTGAGGTATTAATATAATTGAGATAAAATTGTTACTTTTATAAAACTAAGTTCTTATGACATTCTAAAAAAATGTTAAATAAAACTTTATTAAAAAAATAAATGCTCAAAAGACTAATTGTACAACTCCCTTAAAACTCAATAGTTGAGTTTTACCATTTTTTGTGCATTTATTATGCAGATTCTGACTGGTGATGCTAGTGTAGGTCTTGGTCATGATACTGCAGTAAAGTTCCTTGATCATTACGCCAATATTGAGAGTATAGTTCCTAAACAAATTGATCTAAAAAATAACAACTTTTAATTTTCTGCTGGTCTTTATTACACAATGTAACTACAGAAAATTCAAGCTTTCAATAAAAATTTTATTGAAACCTTTTTTTTTTTTTTTGTTTAATATACATTTTTGAGTAAGATGGTAATATTCTAATTTGTTACAATGGTATATGTTAAGCTAATATAAAAGCGGCACAAATCAGCTTAATGGATTTTTAAAAATTGGTAAAACTCAACTGTTTAACTCGAGAGGATATGGCTGCTCAACTACCGTTTTAGCAATAATAATAAAATGTGCCAATCTGCAATAGTCACATCTAGGGCTGCACAATATCTTTTCAGCATGGATATCGCAATGTGCACATCCACAATAGTCACATCGCTAGATATACAATGTTAAGTTAGGATTAATTATTGAACAGGAGCCACATAATTGTATTGAATTACTGTATTTATATTAAATATACACAATTTCTGCCAAACATTTTATTTTTTATTTTTGCTTGCTTATTTTTTTGTCTTGTTTCTAGACTAAATATCTTCATTTCAAAGCGAAAAAGGATAATTTTATTTACCCCACCTGCAGATCCTTTCACTTTTTTTTTAAGGAAAAGCTCCTAACTTTGACTTATTTCTTCTCAAGTTGAAAACAAAACAATATTTTTTTTTTGAACTAAAAGATTTTTGATACTTTGACTAAAAATGAGATTAAGCAAAAAAATTAAGAAAAGTTTTTATTGCATTGTGATTATTCAATATCTGTACTAGAATACTATTGGACTACCAAGAAAAACATCAAATAGAGCTGTTTTAAACCATCTTTAGAAACTGTATTCGTACTGCAATATTTATTGCAGAAAAATAAAATATCATAATAACAGATTTTTCCTATATCCAGCAGCCCTAGTCACATCACAGGATCTGCAATGCTAAGTTGGGCTTATAGTTAACCAAGTGCCATAGTTTAGAACACATGCGAATTGTAAAGTGTAATCGTAATGTGTAATAGTAAAATTTTATTATTTGTGTTTTTAAGGCCAGTGACTGATCAAGTAAGAGTTTAAATCATTCAGGCGCAAGAAATTGTATCCTTTGTAACTTTTGATAAAGATGAATTTTATTGAATTATTCATACAATCAAGACTATACACACAGTGTTATTTTGCTTTAGATTTTTACATGTCTGTGCCTGAATACTGTCTTTGCTCTGTTGTATTGATTTTTGCTTAGAATTTGTTTATTAAATTCTGTGCATGGTTCATTCCTCTACAAAATTACCCCAGTCAATCTGAAATGATTATTTCCAAATAGAGCTATTGAAATCATTTGGTGAAATTACATTTATATCGCAATATATTGCAGAAATTAATGTTAGAATTTTACAATGCCATGTAGCCCATATTTTTAAAAACAGTGTTCCTTTAAGTGTTCCTTTAAGCCTAGCAGAAAATTGTTGCAGAAACATCTTTAACTGTTTTACTTTCTTCCCCAGAGTGTTTGTGAACAGAAGTCTGGCCATGGAAAAGATTAAATGCTTTGGCTTTGACATGGATTACACTTTAGCAGGTAAGGTGTTTCTAATTTCACTGTAGATACACACTTAACTAATTACAGTTGGATGTACTCTTTGCTCCTGCAGCACAAAAACACAAAATTGCACCAATGTCTTATGTTGAGGCACCGCAAATGGAGCCAGTAACACTCTTGCTTAGAATCTCTGGGTAAACATACAGTAAGAGTCTTGGGTATATTTAGCCACGTTTTGTCTGGTTTTAGAGTTTGGAAAACTGAGGTGATGTCTGGCAAACACAGAGTGCTCCTTTATGCGATCTACACCTTAGAATTGATCTACATAAACAAGCCACCTTATTTACAGCATAATATATTTATGTCATGTAGGTCAGCCAAGAACCTGAAATAAGAGAGGGTTTGGTTCTTATGGCGCAACAGTTTAACATGGATCAGATGCATTGGGTTTCTCAAATCCCTCTGCTTTCTGTTATTGGTCCCAGGCTCTCAGCTGCTATTGGAGGATAAGGTCTTCACTAAATCCGGGCTGCGGGCCCTGAGACAGCAGATCACTACTCTGACAGTTAGAATTGATGGCTCTTTAAGAGGTGGATAGTGTGTGTCGTAGCCAGCAGCTAATGTGGCTTAAGCTAAATTCTGAGGCTGCTCAGCTGTTGACATCCTCCACATTACGGCCGGCTGTAACCTAGTGCAAATGTTTACGAATATGAACCCTATATTTTTCCTTATCCTCTGATCAGGTTGCAACCACAGTTTAGAGGTCCTCGGAAATCAATAACAGCTAATAAAAGAAACAAATCCTTTGGCAGCCAGCTGTAGTCTTACAAAGTTGATATGTGCTTTTTTAGGCAACCAAATTTTAATACACCACTTTTGATAGTTCATCAAAAAAATGAGAATCACTTACTCTGATTTTATTCCAAAATTATATGACTAATTAGATCTTTTGAAGACAAACGAAGAACTTTGGTTGGCCAGATGATTAAAGTCAATTGGATTAATGCAAAGTCAATTGGATTAATGTAATCACAAAATTTATTTCCAATTATTCCAATTACTTTTGTGTTCGGTTTTTGCTGAGCAGATTAATAAAAGTCATACAGGTTTGGACCATAGACTGTAAAAGATATGGGCGTAAAATCTGTGACATCACCCATAAGTTTCTAAAGGCCACTTGAATGGTTTGTGAGCACAATTAAGTGCACACAGCATGCCTTATTATCTGATAATTGTAGAAATAATTCCAAAAGGTAACTGACTGTGTAAAACAAAACAAAAATACAATGTGCATGCAGAGTTCAGCAGCTAATCAACCGGAATCGGCTTAGGTGATGTGACGTCAACCAGCGAGACCTAGCTGTCACTCAAGTGGCCACGCCCCCTCACAGTTGTCATGAAGGATAACATTAACTATATGCACCAAAACTATATTTTCTACCAGGCTGTAAACATGTTTTTAGAAGCTGTAAAATTGGCCAATTTATTATTGCAGTCAGTAAACATCTAGCCAGCCCCCAAAGGCGAGTCTGTAAATTTCAGTTTCAGGTACTTCCATATTGACTTCACGAGGGAGAGCTGAGGTTGCTGCTTGGTTTGGACAGGCATAACGGTTAACAAAGACTAACACTAAGACTATATCTTTTTGACAGTTGTAAATTTTATAATTTAATTATTTGTAAGTTTCCTTAATGTGTGTTTCTTCTCTCATATCATAACTTTTACCTCACTGTCGGACATTTTAGGGCAGTCTAGTAACTCATACAAAATTTGTTAGCTTAGATTTATATTTATGATTGCATTTCTACCAACATTTTATAATTGTATATTCAAAAACATTTTATACATTAACCATTTTAAAATGTATAACATTGATATGATAGCGTCTTAAATGTGAAATAAATTCATGTTACATCTAAGTTTTAGTCAATGATACCATCTAAATGCTGCTTCAAATGAAGTTTCTAAGCTTTTTTCTGCTTTGCATTTTACTGGTAATCATACCTGCCAACACTCCTGTTTTTCCTGGGAATCTCTCATATTTCAGACCCATCTCCCACCACCCTCCCGATTTGTTACTTCTCCTTAATTCCCCCCATCCCCGGTCCTCAGAATTTCTGTACAGTCTGTGAAACCCCCAGGTCGCCAACATTGGTATAGGATCCGATCACAGCAGCGACCGAAACACGCTTCGTAGTAGTTACTAACACCACAGTACACAGTACCAGGTTCTTTAAAGTGTTATTAAGACACCTCACCCCTGAACCTAACCCGGTCTCCTGGATTTTCTGGGAGAAATGTTGGCAGGTATGTTGTAATCATTTCATTTTACTAGTAAAAGACATAATAAGTTATTTCAGTGTCGTTTGAAATGACAGATGACACAAATGTTTGGGGAAAATGTTGTTTATATTCAAAAACATGTCTTGAAAATCAGTTTAAGAAGACAAATTGTTGTTAAAATAGACTCATTTATTTAATTTTAAGTACCACACATATCAAGGCTTAATGTCAAATCATGCCTTTTGGTTACAACAAATGTCATCAATTATTTCCATCCTGTCTTTTACTTATTACATCATTATGTACTCTCAAGCATCTCAAGACAAAGTTTTACTCTTTAAATGTATTTCTCAATTATTTATGATGGAGATAATATTCTTTTTTTATGGTACATCAGTACAATATATTAATAGATGTACGCATTCACTGTTGGTCTTAAATCCTTCAGCAAAGAAGCATTAAAACAAACCATACAGGGTTTTAAGGCTACTTTCCAACACAATGCCACATCCAAGCCCTGATTAATATTCCCTGTTGCTTATTGAGTCCATTCCTTAACCAAATCCCCTTTGTGATTTGGACCAGCGTGCAAGTTAATACCCTGCACGTGTACAGAGCAGTGGCACGAACTCTCCATCTAAGCCTGGTGTTGACAGCTCTTCAACCAGACAGTTCATTAAATCACAGAGGAAAGTGTCACCTCTGCATTCTCTGTATAGACCAAATCCAATTTCCAGGACAGAAAAGTAAAATCATTTAAATAGCAGTGCTATTTTTTATGGCTGATGTTTTTTTTTTTTTTTTTTTTCTTTAATTAAATAAGAAAACTAATAACTTAGTCTGTAAGGTATATGTGCTGTCAAAAAAAAAGAAGAAAAAAAATGAAAAAAACCTGATAGCATAGTCCAAAGTCAGCCAGAGGCTTAATACAGTCAGGACATGTTCATCAGGGAGCAGTTGATGGATGGATCTAGAGGTTGGTGGAGCTTGTTTACCTTACACAACAAATACAAATTTAATTTTCTAGCTAAGGGTAACTTGAGCTATTAGCTCCAGCCTGACATCATACCCTCATGCTGATCACATATGCATGTGTAATAATCTTTCCAGGAGTATATTCTGTGTATGGAGGGAGAAACCTGAATCTCCACGGCCTGAGTGGCTCTATGCTGACACATTAATCATGGCAAACAGGTTTAGAGCACTAGGGAGAGTTCGGAATGACAAATATGTTGTACGTGGAGAGCAAAATGCAAAAAAAGAAAAAAGTATTTCGAGTGTAGTGCAGTGGTGTTCCTTTTTTACTTTCTTACTATCAACTGTTAATAGTCATTAGTCAATTTACCTGAAAAGTAGTGGTAGTCAAACGTGTGTCAGAAATATAAAGACTTGGATGCAATTTAGCCATCGTCAGCTAACCACCATCATTAATAGTGGAGTTGAAAGATCACTGACGTCAACCTTAACTGGTGTTGATAAAGATTTGACCTTGGAAAGCTCGTATCACTGTTGAAAAGAGGTTTACTGGCGTTAGCTCATAACAAGACAAGAGAAGGTTTTGGCAACAAGCCAGAGAAACCAGCTGAACATCAGCTTTGCCAGATTAAGACACTAGTAAGCTGTCTTTGTTTGGTTTAAAGTACAGTTTTCCAAACAGGGGTTCGCGAAGGTGAATGTGATCTCACCTACATCATTGTTTATCCTACAACAACTTTCCAATCAGCCAATCAGACTTAGGGGATGGGTTCACGTTTAATGTTAAGGTTTAGGGTAGTGTTTCCCAAACTTTTTTTATCAATTACCACCTCAGAAAAAAATTGTCTCTACAAGTACCATCATAATGAGCAGTATTGAAATAGCATAGTTAGCGCAGTAAAGCAGCTACAGCTCTGCAGTTCTAAAATGTGGCAAATTAATTTCTATTATTGATAGTCTGAATGTTAACACTGTACTGTGTTTAGTATGTAAAAAAAAAAAAAAGAAACAAACAAAAAACTAAAAACGTCATCATTTTAATTAAAATGTGCTTTTAAAAGTTTAAAATTGTAGGTTGATGTTCTTAAAAAGTAAAAAGAAAAGTGCTGTACTTAAATGTAAAGTATTAACATATAGTAGCCAATTCATCAACACCTGGAAATGTTGCCTGGACCTCAGAAATATAGCCTACATGTCATATAATAAATAATATTAAACGTCATATTCATAAATAAATAATTTTTGATCAATTTTAAAATATATGTAGCAAGAACATATGACACATTTGATATCTTAGCGTACCACTAGAAGGAAGCCAGCGTACCACTAGTGGTACACGTGCCACAGTTTGAGAACCACTGGTTTAGGGGATTGTATAGAAATGGGCTGGAATATGATTCTGGTGGTATGATAACCTTGGATAAAAATTCAAGGTCCATAGCATTCTTGAAATTAGTTTTTCAAATGTTCAATCATTGGCTGACCAGTAGCTTTTCATGTGGATGGTCCTTTGCTTCTGGAGATACTGTTGCCCTAAATAAAATAGTCTTTGACAAAAAGAAAAAAAAAAAAGAAAAAAACTTGCATATACCTTATAGGAACAGTAAACCTTAAACATAAGACATTTTATGTGAATTGTGAATGTCAAATCCCAATATATCACAAAGTAATTACAATGTAAACACAACCAAATCACAACACTTGCATTTTTTAGTCAAGGAACATGAAGATAGTAATGACTGTGTAAAACTTTAAAAACAGATTTCATAGTGCTTCCTAAT